CTAATTATATAAGGAGTTGAGACTGTAGCAAATGAACATACACCAAAAAAAAAAAAAAACACATGAAATGGTAAGAGAATGTGGAACTCAGAGGGATCAGAAAAAAAAAAAAAATTGTATAAGTCAATTTTAAGGTGAGTTATATTATACATTGAGTAACCATAAAATTATTTTATTATTTTATGAATTATTTTATGTAAATCATGCTTGTTAAATTATATTAGCATCACAATTATGTTATTTATTTTATAAACCATATTCGCTTAAAAATAAAAATACATGGATATAACTGTTTATTAACTGTGTTTTTGAATAGTTATTTTGTAAGTACCACCACAGGTCACATGCCTTAGAGGACTTAAATAACCTTTGGCCCTCTAATTAGTTACTTTAGTAACCCTCTGACGGTTCCATACCTTGGGGGAATTAAATAACTATTGGCCCTCTGATTAGTCACTTTGTGACCTTCTGCCTGTCATGGATCCATTGACCTTCTATTCTGTTCTGTACTGTGATTATGGTTGTTTTGTATATACGATTTTTGTATTATATATCTGTTATTTAAAATAATTTATTCGAATCAAGCTGTCACTGCCATAATCAATCTAAAAACATCCTTTGTGGACACAGGAGAAAAAGTTTATGTACAATCAACCCCTTCTTTCTGTGTTTACCCTTTTGCTACTAACCTTGCTTTGAATCTTTCAATTTTTCCTTTGGAATCTTTCTTTTTTTTAAATACCCAATTGCAACCAAAAGGCTTAAAACCCTTAGGAAGCTCAACAAGCTCCTACACACCATTGATTTCCATAGAATGCATCTCCTCCTTCATCACATCAATCTACTTCTAGACTTTGGATTTGTGACTGCCTCGTTGTATGTAACTGGATCAATTATTTCCTCAGGCTCATAATCTTGCTCACATAGAAAGACAACATAATCATTTGGAAGAGCAACCTTCTAACTCTATGTGAACGCATTGGAGGTTGTGCGCATTGTACATCCTCAACTGGTTGAGGTACATCAATAAGCTAATTAAGGGCTTCATTATCTGTTTGTGCTCCTACTCCCTCTATGTAAGAAGGAACAAAATTCTTTATCACAATAGGCAAAGGTACAAAGGTAGACTCATGTATTTAAGCTCTAGACTATTCACCCAAACTCATATAATCACCTACATCATTCTCTAGAAACTTCGTATTTCCTGCCTCAATGATCCTTGTGCCATGACCAGAACAATAAAACCTATAACCTTTCGAGGTTTGTAGATAACCTACAAAGTAACAACGAGTGGTTCTAGGTTCCAATTTGGTTTCAAAAAGATTATAAAGTTTTTACTTTAGCAAGGCAACCCCAAACCCAAAAGTGGTTCAAACTAGGTGTTCTTCCAGTCCACAATTCAAAAGGTGTTTTAAGAACAGCTTTACTCAGTAAACTATTTAGGATATACATGGTAGTCAAAAAGGCTTCACCCTAAAGGGAATCAGGTAGTTTGGACGTGCTAATCATACATCTCACCATTTCTTTTATAGTGCAATTACGATGCTCAGCCACGCCATTTTGTTTAGGGGTCTCAGGCATGGTGTATTGTGCAATGATTCCACAACTTTGTAAATATTTAGCAAAAGGTCTCACACATTGACCAACATCACCATGTTTATCATAATATTCACCTCCACTGTCAGATCTAACAATTTTGATCACTTTGCCAGTTTGTTTTTCAACGTTGGTTTTATAAATCTTAAATTTTTGAAGAGATTTAGATTTATTATGAATTAGATAAATAAAACCATAACGTGAGTAGTCATCTGTGAAAGTAATAAAATATGCTTTCCCACGCAAAGTAGTAAACGACGGCCCACAAATGTCAGTGTGTATTGCTACTTGTGGCTCCTAGTTTCCTTGTTTTGGTCATTTTTCCTTTTATACAATCCACACACACTTCAAAGTCATGAAAATCAAGGTTAGGAAGTATATATGTTTTATTCAATTTCTCAATTCTTTCATTAGAAATATGTGCTAGTCTTTTATGCCACAACATGGATGAGTTTTCTTTAATTAAACATCTTTTAGTTCATTTGCTTTCAACATTCATAGAAATTTGATTTTGGGACAAATTTAGTTTATATAAACCATCACACAAGCATCCATTCCCAACCAAAATAGAATTTAAAGACAAATCGAATTTTCTATTACCAAAACTAAAATAATAACTAGACTCATCAAGTTTTGAAATTGAAATTAAATTTTGCATCATAGATGGCACAAAAGCAACATTTTCTAAAATAAAACTAGTTCCAAACTCAAAAAACAACCTGACACTACCAACGAAATCTACTGGGACCCTAACTCCATTGCCAACGTAAACACAATTCTCTTTCACTCTGCGTTTGTTTATGAACCCCTGCAAAGAATTAGAAACATGAATAGATGTTCCACTATCAAGCCACCAAGAATTTGGTGGCACATCAACTAAAGAGGATTGAAAACAAACAAAGGCTAGTGAGATACCTTCTTTTTTGTTCTTCTTATCTAGCCAGGCCTTGAATTTGTGACAATCTAGTTTTTTTATGACCACTCAACTTACAAAACCTACAACTCATTTCCTTTTTAATGTCAGGCTTGGGCTCTAATGGATTGTTAAGTTGAGTTTGTTGGTTGTTGGACTGACCCTTATTAAACTTGCCATGATTACCCTGATAGTTATGATTTTTACAAAAATTATTACCCTTGTGATGTTAAGAAGACTGATTGCGGATATGACCCCTTCCCTGGTGTAGCTGATGCACTATATTCACACTCCCTCCCTTTTATTTCTTATTCCTCTCCTCTTCTTGTACACGTATAGCAATAAGATCATTCACATTCCAAGACTGTTTTTGGGCATTATAGGTGGTTTTCAAGTTATCAAACTATATAGGAAGAGAGTTAAAGGCTTGGTGAACAAGGAAAGTCTTTGCAATGAGCAATTTAAGGTTGGTTAATTTGTTGGCTATCTCTTGCATTTTCATGATATAAGATCTGACACCACTCACCTCACCATACCTCATGGTGGACAAGGTTTGCATCAGGTCACCAGTCTCAGCCTTTTCAGATTGTAAGTATCGTTGTCCTATGGCATCAAGGAACATTTTAGCATTGGACTCATGTGGCATAACACCTAAAAACTCTCAGATATGGACTTCTTCATGATCATAATGCTAAGCATGTTCGCCCTATTCCATTTGTGATATTGAGCCTTTTGCTCAACAGTGCTAATATCAATGAGTTCAGGAGGCTCATTATCAATTAGGGCAATATCTAAGTCAGCTAAACCCAGAGCTAACTCAATATCCCTTTTCCATATCTTAAAGTTATTCCCAGTCAAAGTTTCAATGGAACAAATCTGATTATTCACTGCAATATTGCTAACAGCTGCAACAGAAATTTAACTTGACATAATTGAAATATATATGGGCAAAAGCAATAATAATAATAATTTCACAAAGCAATAATAATAATAATTTCACAAGAACATGCTGAAAATTAGCTTTAGCATTATTCTCAGAGAATTAAAATATATCACCATATAAACACCTTTGAGCAGAATATATAGGGCACATACTAACACCTCTAAACAAATCAATTAATAAGAATGATTTATCAAAAAAAAAGACTATCCCTTTGGGTTGATAGGTCTTTGCAAAATCAATAAAATTCCCTTATTATTGACTCACACTACCTCTAAAATTAATTCACACGATTAACTCCCTTTGGAAAGGTAATTGAGTAAAATAATTTTAGAAGAGCTTCCCAGAGTCCTTATTAAAAAACTTATAAATCTCGATAGGTTAACCACTTTGACAGAATCACCCATATTGATTTAAGAGTTCTCTAATTGGGACAATTTTAAAATAAATATTCTCCCTTTGAAAATATCACTATTTATTATTTTAATATATAATGGTCCTTGCACCAGTAAAAAATTTATTGAAATAATCTGTCATGATTTTGATTCTACTTGCTTTGATACCACATGTAAGATTATAGGATCTTTATACTAGAAATCAAAACACTATGAATATAATTTTAGATACATACCGTTTAATTCTGTCATTGTCTTGAGTTTTGCTTTCTTGAAAAAAGATGGTATTCACAATCGAAAAAACTTAGCACCAGCTCTTCCCATTCTTATCCTATATCTTTTATGTTGTTTTTCAATGGGACTAACAACCCTTTGATTTACATATATATAAATATATGTAAACCCTAATAGGATAGGAGAGGCGTCCTCCTATTAAAGAACCCAAATAACTCAAATAAGCCTTACACCTTCATACCACATACTTATAATAAATTCACTAAGATGGATCATGGTCTAAAACTTTATGATTCACAAAATTAATTTGGACTCATACTAGTCAATTTGTATGAATCACTTTCAATTCATTTTTCACAAATCAAAATAAAACATAGTCAATAACAGTCCAATTAAGAATGAATTCTTACATTTGTATGAAAATAGGAACCGATACACGACTTTGAGGCGTGTTGCGAATACTTGCTTTGTTTAAGGTGCGAATTGCCCCCACTATCAAAATAATTTGTTGCCGAGTTCTTACCAATCAATCTTACGGGTCAGCAATCCCAAAAACCTTCCTCAAAAAATTTCATACTTGTTTGAGATGACCTAAATAAGTGTACTTTTTGTCTTTTTACGAAAAGATGTACAGAAAAGTAGAGAGGTGATGTGATAGAAAAAAGATAAAAAGATAGATTATTTTCAGCTTCCCAAACTTGGCGAGATTTGATTTTGTTGTGAACAGTGAATGAGAGATATTTTTCAACATATCAAATATGGATTTACACTCCTCATATAGAGAGTTAATAGTCACCAAAAGTACCCTTTTCATGGAAAACTTTCCAAGTTCGCAACTCTACATTACAAGTATTTCAATTTTAGAAAAAAACATTTTAAATTAATACATAATTTTAATATTACAATCTATATTAGGGTTTTTACTATCTAAAAAAAAATCTATATTAGAAACACCAACAGAAATGCCATCATCAATCCAACGACAATCCTCCGAAAGGCAGCGGCTGAGAAGAGCCTGATTTCTTTGGACTGTCACTCTGAGCAGTTGGCGGTGGGGCATTTGAAGGAGTACCCACTGGTGATGCTGCCACTGATGATGGTGGTGGCCACGATGGGGAAGGAGGTGTGGCTGCTGCCATAGGACTGGAACTATTAGAGCAAGATGGTGAAGGACTCACTGTGGCAATGGCTTTGACCACCCCATCTATGCCATGGCATCTAATGGAAGACCCGGCGGTGCATATATTAGGGCTAATGATTCTTACATTGTTCAAATAGAAACTTTTCCTACCATTGTTGGAAATATGAAGCATGAACTTGGGCTCTGATGATGGAATTATGGAACCTGTTGGGATATGAACTAGGTGGTCAAAAAGCAAGGGGGATGGGATCGAATGGCGGAGTAAGAAATCAACAACACCATTATTCTCTGGGATTGTGGTTTTTGCTAGGGTCCGATCATTGGGCATCAAGAAAGTGACATTATTCGCTTGAATTAAGCTCGGAGGGACCATATTGATGAGCATGACGAAGGTGAAGTAGTTGGCAGTTTGCATCTCTGCGATGGCGACGACAAGGTCTTGGTTAACGTTGTTGATTGTTGTAGCAGTGGTGGCTGATGAGATGAGCGCCATGAGAACAGCTGACAAGGTCATGTTGTGAGACTCCATGTCCATAAGGGGTTGCAGATAAATTTCTCTGTTCTGTACCATATATTCTGTATTTTGATCTTACTAAGAATGATTGTTAAGGTTGGTGTTCCAGATTCGTGAATTGGGGGTTAGCTTGAACATGCATCTCTGCTGATTCAACAAACCAAGCTCATACCTCCTGAATGAATTAAGAGTTTTGAGGGCACTAGGTTGGTGTAGAAAACAAGTTTTGTATTTTTTTAAATATAAAAAATAAATAATAAATAATAAATAATAAAAAAAATTGTTTGGTATACACAAATGTTTTAAAAATAAATGAAAATTATATATATATATATATATATATGTGTGTGTGTGTGTTTGGTGAGTTGCTAGAGGTGGTCTTCGGCGGAAAGTAGCCAGATGTAGTGGCTAGAGGTGACAGCCGGACGGTGCCCATAATGTTGCTGGAGCTTGCTAACGCTATGTTTGATTGAGAAATTTGAGAAGGGAATTCAGGAAAAAATAAAAATAAATAAAAAGATAAGTGAAATGTGAATAAATATACCTACATTTCATCTAATTTTACACACATTTTTCCTTTCTCTTTCTCAAATTTTCCAACCAAACATAACATAACGGGTCGCACAAAAAATTACTAGTGGTGGGTGGTGGGGCGGAAAGAGAAAACAGGTGAAAGCACTCACTTTGTTTTCCAAAACTTTTATAATCAATAGCAATTTTTGATAACAAAAACAATATACCAAACAAACTTTTATTCAGTTTACAAAAAATACAAAAATAAATAACAGAAAACAAAAAGGGTAGCAAACAACGTTAGGGTTTGGGGGTGTATATATACATATCGGGATAATATGTAGTTGCACGCAATCAGCAGTGTTGTTGAGGGACTGCAATAAGCCTAACACTATAGTAATGTCCGGTTTGGTGCAACTTATGGGGCTTTTCCCATATTAAGCCTATTTTGTATTTTAATTCTCAAACTAGGTTTAGTTTGGACGGAATTCTCAAATTAGGCTAAAGCGCTATTACAAATCGTGCTTTCACTGTTTGGAGCATAAAATTTAATCAATAGTGAAAGCGCTATTACAAAACGCATTTTTAATTAAGCAAACGCTATTACAAAACGCGCTTTCACTGTGCATAGGAAGAAGAAAACGCGGTTCCAAACCACGTTTTTACTGTGCATATCTGTTTTCTTAAGAAAACGTTTAAAATATATTAAAATGTAATCAAAGTAAATTTTGAGTTCTTTGCAGCTCAAATGGTAGTGCATTGGTTTTGCCACGCCTCTTCACAAGTTCAAACCACATGCACAGCAACTCCAACCAATTGCTATACAAAATGAAATTCAACTTCTTTTTTTTTTTTCCTTCCACTCACTCTATACTTTATATATTTATTATGCAATTTTTTTATCAAAAAAAGTAAAATGTTTGTTTGGTTAAATATTTTAAAAAATTAAAAATAAACAATTTATTTATTTAAAAAATTAAATAAACAATTTATTTATTTTTAAAGAATTATATAAAGTAGTATACTATTTATACTATCATCACATCACACGTATAAATAGTATACTCACTTAGACGTATTATACTATCATCACATCGCACGTATACTACTTTTTTCTCGAGCGTAAATTATCCCGCTCGAGCTGACTTAAAAACAGAACAAAATACTGGGAGCACGATTTCCACGCTCGAGCGCCAGTTACCCCGCTCGAGCGTGAGTTCAAAATCTGGAAATTCCAGATTCGAACCTCAAGCTCAAAACCAAGTTTTAAAACATAAATTTCGATCCTCTTGGGCCAATTTTCCAGAAAACATCCCAAAACTCATAGTTTAACATGATTCCAAAGCTCAATTGTAAAATCAAAGCCCAAGAG